CAGGACAGAGCTCAATTTGCTTTGCCCATCACTGTTCTTTGCCAGTTTGGTACTGGCAAACAAGCTATCATTTCTAAGCCAGTTCCAAGTATGCACTGGTCTCCTTCTTCTTTTCTCTCTTGTACATGCACACAAAATGAACAAAATGCATAATTCTGGCAAATGACTTTATCCGGTCCAATGGAACGCAAACAACATCAAAAGCAGTGAGCTAGGAATTAGCAGACAGTGTGTGACCACAGAAAAGTCATTTTAGTTTTTTCATCTGTAAAATGGGGATTATAATATCCATTATATTATGTAGTTATCTTGCCATGATGTCGTAAGGATCCAATGCAATGATGTCTAGGAAAGTGCTTTGGAAATTGCAAAGAGCCAGACAAATGTAAGGTGTTATAAGGGGCCCTTTATAAGTAGTCAGTGGACTGAAGTTTATAAGCCACTATGTAAGATAACTTGAAAACATAAATATCTCATTTTTGTGAGATGACTTAAGAGTTTTAAGGCATGAACCATGTGACTTTCTGACCTCCATGAACTAGTGCCCCATTTTTGCTCTCCCATCATGGTGTTCTGTAATATAAGCTCGGCCAAAACAGCATGCTTTCCTCAAAGTAGGCCACTCTTTTCCTGGGGATAGGAGAAAAGGGATTAGAAATAGGGTTACATTCCAGGCACAATAACTGACTTAGGCATAGTCCTTCCAAAGAAATCACTAAACAAGGAAGGCCTCCCTCAACATCACCAAGCTCACCTGGAAGTAGTTAGGCAGAATACTATAGCCTGTCTCCAGTGAAGACAGACTCTGTGTAAATCAACAAGCAAACCATGTGTGAAGAAAGGAAGATAGCAGGAGACCTACACCATTTTTAAGTGGCAAAGTGGGAAAATTGAGCACACAGGTAGAATAAATGCTTTAAGGACACATGGAAATACAGTTTCTGCAGCAAAGCCTTGCTGCAGGCCATTCAGAAATAGTAGCCATCTGCCAGGCAATTCTCTGGCATGAAGTGGTTGTGAGCAAAAATTCTTCCAGGATGCCAGTTAGTGGTATGGGCTGAGATGTAGAGTGATAGGCTCTATTCTAAGCAGTAAAAAGCAATATAATTCAATTAAATTTAATTCAAAAATGGTTAATCACCCTGGATACAAACCCAGGGTGCCTTTATGCAAACACACAAACAACAAAACATTAACAGCAAAAACTAGTTGCTGCCTTCAAGGAGCTGATGTTCTGCTGGAGAGAATATGACACATATACAAACAGGACAAGGCAAACTGATGATTGAGGAGGCATTAACTGAGGGAATCAGGGAAGACTTTGTAGAGCAGGTAGCACCTGAGATGAGACTAGAAACAAAGATTCCGAGAAGAAAACAGAAGGGAGGAGTAAGTGCATTCCAGGCATGGGGAACTTATTACTTAAATGCAAGTATGTTTAAATTTAGGAGTTGGAGGGAATGACTATTATTTACTTTGGAAGTCAGCATTTGGGGAAAAGGGTAGTCAACAAGCTAAGGAGCATTTATTAAGTGTCTACGATGTGCTGGGCATTGTGCTAAGTTCTGAAGATAAAGGAAGACAAAAACAACCACTGCCTTTAAAGAGCTTACAGTCTAACGGGGGAGACAAAATGCAACCAACTGTGTGCAACCAATATATACACTGGGAAATAATTTCAACTGAGAAAGTTTTCTTGTAGAAGGTGGTATTTTAACTGAGACTTGAAGAAAACCAGAGAAGCCAGGAGGAGGGGAGAAGGAAAGAAAGAATTCCAGGTATGGGGTGGCAGCTAGTGAAAATGGAGAATTGGGAGATAATAAATTGTATGAAGAAAAGTTAAGGAGGCCAGTGTCACAGTGTCACAGAATCACAGAGAAAGGAATAAGCATTTATATAGCACATATGTGCCAGACACTGTGCTGAGCATTTTTCATAAATATATCATTTGATCCTCATCACAACACTGCAAAGTAGGTAATCCTCATTATCCCCATTTTATAGTTGAAGAAACTGAGGTAGAAATTTGTGCAGAATTAATCTATGTAGGTTATTAAATTCAACAATACATCAATATCAATGGATAAGGTAAAAAGGAAGTATCTACCTGTGAAAAATGGGTAAATAAGGAACTAACACTTAGGACGGTGGCCAGTGAGTCAAACTCTTCCAGAGGAAGCAAGTTTCCTGTGAGAATAAGATAGAGTGTGAAAAGAAATAGAGAATAAAGAGAAATTTATTAGGGACTAAATGGGATTCTTCATGGGACACAATGGAAAAGAAGGGAACAGAGGAATGGGGAGTGTTATGATTGGGCTGGACAGGGATGAGTATGCAGAGAGGCAACAGAAGATTTCACACTGGGAGATGATGACTCTGAATCACTGGGATTAAGGGAAGAGGCATATTTGCTAGCCTAAGTAACATTTGGTTGGAGCCTCTACCTTCCTATGATGATGGAAGGTGGTACTGGGTGTGGTATTCCTTCTCTAAACTGGAGATTTGGGAGATGGTAGTGGTAGCAGAGAACGCAGGCCAAAGGTCTGGGCACCATGGACTATACTGAAATTACAAAAGGTGGTCATATTCCAAGATGGTGGGGTATGAGGAATACCAAGGTCATACTCCATGTAGAGCTTATATTTATTATGTTAAATCTGGTAACTGGGACCTTGGTCAGGGTAGGACTAAACCTTTGTCCAAGACACCTAAGCTCTAGTACTGCCTCTACAACTTTAAGTAAATCATTTTCCACTACTGCAACAGCAAAGGTCTCTTGATCACCCTTCATTCATACCTAAATATCTAGATAGTATTCACCATCATTTATTAACCTTGTCTTAGAATACAAAGGATAACGACACTAATATATAGATTGTCCAACACTGACTTTGTCAAAAGAAATTATACTGTGGCATTTTTAAAAAATGACAAAATACAACCTAGGGATACTGTGCTTACCAATATTTACTTTATTTAGCAGACCAGGCACCTGGCAAGAGTTTAGGCCCATGATGCTACAAACAAATAAATGTTTCCTCATTTTGGAAAAAAAAGAGTATGAATATTTTTCACAGCTTGGAGGTTAAAGTCTATTTAAGAATGGCCTCTAACAAAATCCACTATGCAGATCTTCTTTATTTAACATTTATTAAGCCACCACTATGTACAAGGCACTAAGTTAGAAGCTATGTTAGATGGCAATATGGTATAGAGACAAGAACAATGGGCTTGAGACTTAAGCAACTCAGTTTCTGCCTCTGTGTGGCTGAATGATCAATTGGAAAAGTCACTTAACCTCTCTGGGCCTCAGTTTCCTCATTTGTAAAATGAGAGATTTGGATTATGTTGGGTGTTCTTAACCTGGGGTCTGTAAACTTATTTTGAAATTTTGGTAACTCTATATAACTGATATAACTGGTTTCCTTAGAAATCCCTCATATTTTATTTTACACCATTAAAAACATTAATTCTGAAAAGGGGTCCATAAGCTTCACCTGACTGTCAAAGCACTCCATGATACACACAAAAAAGGTTATGAACCCAGGGTTTAAATGATCCTTTTGGTCCCTTCTAACAATGTGTAAGACACAGAAGTATAGAACACAATTCCTGACTTTGTAGAGCTTTACTAACTGCCTGTTAAAAAGACTGAAGAATTAAGTTACTTTACTTTCTTCCATCTTGATAGCCGTCCTGCTACCTGTACCAGAGACCATGCACTGGAAGACTGCATCTTCTCAGATTTCAACTCCTATTCTGAGGCCTGAGGTCCTGATTGGTAAGAGCTTCCTGTGCGTCCTTCTAGTGCAGGCTGGCTGTTCTACTCTTGGTTCACTTGACTTGGCCACTATCCTCCTGCCAGCTGTTTTGCTGTCTCAGTTGTTTACTCCATACCTCCCCTCTAATAACTCAACAATATTGTAACTACTGGAAAAGGTGTGTCAATCTACTCTCCTACGGTTCCATAAACCACTCCTAACTTTCCAGACCAAAATACCTCTCTCCCTCGCCACCATTCCCCTACATATGTTGTTTCCCCCATTACAATGCAATCTTCTTGAGGGCAGGGATTGTCTCCACTTATGTTTTTGTGTCACTAGTGCATGGCTTGATAAATGCTTATTAATCCATTCATGCATTCAAAAGACATTAATTACTTAATGTACTACTACATGCCAACCACTTGGCTAAATGCTGGTGGAAAATATAAAGTTTAAATAAGACACAGTTCCTGTTTATACAGCGCTTTTAATTCCATTTCACATCTATCATCAACAATTATTTGTACTAATGGAAAAGCAGAAGAGTAGATTGACACATTCATTCTACTCTCCTTCATGATCCAGCCACACTGGCTCATGTACTACTCATTGCACATCTCCTTTCTCTATACCTTTGTAGTAGGGAAATTATCTATAGAAGGGATAAGCAATCTTGCACTAAAAATCAGTGTCATTATATCATAGCTATCCCTGCTGACTCGGGAAAGGGGTTAAGCACAACAAAGATTTGAAAGTATGAGAGTAGGTTCATCAAGAATGGTAGGTATATAGTTACTGTGGCACACCCTCTGCCACCTCCACCCCCCACTTTTACCCTCCTCCTCTTTTAGGATTAGACTATTATTAAAATGATAGTTCATAACTGAGGGGGTCAGCTGCTCAGCTCCAATGTGCTATACCTTCATTATCTCCCTACACCCTGGTCATTGATTTCCCCTTACCATTCTCCCTTCCTTTTCTCCCCTTTAGGTTGGCCTAATTTTGCTGCCTTTCTACAACATTCTACCAAAATGCATCTTGGTTATTTTGATTTCTCACATTCTTGATACTCAAGCTTTTTAATGTATTAAGGAAAACAAGAGCAGTGGTGAACAGAGAACTGGCTTTGGAATTCTTTAGGAAATAACAGTAAGTTCATGCCCAATGGTACTGACTCTTACCAATGTCAGAATAACGTGCAGCCCTATCAGAAGCACATGAATAATGAGCACCAGAGCAGAGAACCACCATTTTAATGTTTGTTCTTTTAAAGTCACAATAATTTACAGCCATTTAATTTCAAGGAAAGTGGAGTAAGGAACTCTCCATATCATCAACTGTGAGATCTTCACAGCAACATCTTTTTTCTTCCAACTGTAGTGTCAGAAAGACAACTTTTTGCATACATACATATAGATTTTTAGATATATTTGCTTTAGTCATATTTTAGAAATCAGTTCTTCCACACTAAGATTTACAATAAAAATAATTTGCTTTGTAACCTATAGTAGAAAGTTTCAAATAAACAAAAAACCCCCCACTGTCTTCCATATAATGGAAGAAAAACTTGTGTGATTTTTTTGCTTGTGAAATAAGCCCCAACCATGTAGACAGGAGATGCACCAATTTGTTGCTGGAGAAGCATCCAGAAGCACTTCATTGCTCCAAAGGGATTGGTAAGAGAGCAGTGCCACCTTTCAGGTCTGAGAGGCCCAACAATCTGTTTCCCTTTTCAGGGGTATTCCAAAGTGCTTATGGCTGTTCTGCCATTGCCTGGTCCTTGGCAGCTACGACAAGCTCTATAAGAGCTGTAAAGCTTTTTATGTTGCTTGTTTGCAGGCCCATCTTTTGCATCTGAAAATGTTAAAAAAAAATAATTATGTTCTCAATTCTTTATGTTAAAAGAGGAAAAAAGACTATTTGCTATTTTTTTTCTTCTGTTGTGTTCTGTTTCCTCTTTCTGGTGGTTCCTCTTATTGGCTCTAATTCTTACAACATCAGTAATGTGAAAATATGTTGAAGAAGAATGTATATGTATAGCCTATATCAGATTGCGCTGTCTTGGGGACAGAGGTAAGGAGGTAGAGGGAGAAAAATTTGAAGCTCAGAAGCTTCTGGAAGTGATTGTTGATAATTCAAAATAAATTAATTAAAAAAAAAAAGAGGAAAAAAGAAACCTCCGTCCTCTCATAAATCTGAAAAAATAGCTCTCTCAAGCCCTGGTTAACAACTCTCTCTTCTATCCTCACTACCTTCAAAGCAAAGGACATCTATATGAAAACATTTTATTTACCTGATGAGTCAAATACCTAATATTCTAAGCAGTCACACCAACTGGTGCTAGGTGTTTAAGTATAGCTCACCATCAGTGAGGCCAATCTTGGGAGAGTAAGTCTCTTTCTGCATCTTTTATGCAAGGAGCATTTTCATGCCAAGGGAAACACAGAAACAAAAAATTCTAAAGTGAAAGATTTTGAAAAGAGGATGCATTAAACTTTTACTTTCTTGGCAACTTGAGAATTTACCTAAAAACAATTGGGCATAGTAACCACCATTTAATAAGCTGATGTGTTGAACTGAATTAAAAGTGGAATGACAAATGTAAGGTTTTAGGAGAAAATGTTTTTGAATCCACCTTAATGTATTTTTAAACTAAAAGTTTCTTTTCAGATATAGTGTTCCTACGTGTAAAGGCTACCCTTATGTTATATGTGAAGCATCTATTTCCTCAGTCAGTTGCAGCATCAAACATCAAGACGAAAATCTATTCACCTTTAGTTTGGAGTAAAAGCTTTGCAGCAATATGTATGCCATACTTTGCAGGACGCACAAACAGTTACATGCATATCCTTGTAAATCATACATAAACACTTTTCTTTCTACCTCACGTTAGAGATGTGGTCAACACCTATGATTAAGAACTCAATGATTACGTTTAATTATGATTAAGTACCGTATAGCAAAACTTCAGCTATCTGGAACCCTGAGTTGCTCTGGAATTAGATTAACCTTAAATGCTAAAACATTATATTTTAACTTTGTAAATGGTTAATTTGTCAAATATAGAATTCGTTATCTTTCCCCTTAAACTTAGTCCTCCTCCTCCTCCTCACTTACCTCTGTCTGTTGAAGGTTTCATCCTTCTAGTTATTCTTAGAGTTAGCAACCCTGGGATAGTCTATAACTCTTCATTTTACTTCTCTCTTATCTAATCTATTTCTAGATCTTGTTAATGCTACCTCCCCTTCTCTACATTTCCATGACCACCTAGTGGCTCTAAACACCTGGACTATGACAAGAGTCTCCTGAATGATCTGCCCGCTTCCCTTCTATCTCTTTAATATCCACACAGATGCTAATTTGATATTCCTAAAGCACAGAACTGACAATATCACTGGCCCCATCAAAAATCTTCAGTAGCTCCCTACTGCTTCTAGGAAGGGTAACAGGGAATAAGCATTTATATGGCACCTGCTATGTGCCAGACACTTTGTTAAGCAGTTTGAACAAATATTATATTACCTGATCCTTACAATAACCTTGCAAAGTAGATGCTGTTACTGTCCTCATATTACAGATGAGGAAACTGAGGCAAAGGGAGTTAAGTGACTTGCCCAGGGTTACACAGCTAGTAAATGTCTGAGGCTGGATTTGAACTAGAGGCTTTCTGACTGTATGCACAATGCTCTGTCTATTGTGCCACTTAGATGTCCCTAGGCACAAAATACAAACTTTTCTGTTTGACATTTAAAGCCTTTCATAATATGGTTATAGACTGATTCCATATGACACCCCCTCAGCCATTCTAACCAAAGTGGAACACTTGCTATTTCTTATATATGATATTCTATCTCCCACCTTGAATCCTTTTCACGGTCTGTCACCCTCACCTCTGGCTCCTGAAATGCTTGGTTCCTTCATCTTTTCTGATTGCCCCACTTGTCAGAATCCTTCCTCTCTCCCCAGTAATTCTATCGTGCATAATCTGTATTTACTTATCTGTATATGTGTTGCTCCCTGAATAGAATGAAAGGTCCTGTTAATTCCTGTCTTAACACAATGCCTGAGACATACTAAGCACTTAACACTTGCTGTACTGAAACATTCCCCCCACCCCAGCCTTCTGCTACATGCCTCTCTCCCTGTCTCCACTCCCAGTGTCAGTAACTGCATTTCTCTGCTTATAATTACTGAACTACCATCTCTTCGCTATCCCTTCTCACTCTCCCCGCATTTCTTGGCTATCCCATTTAAAAGTTTGGCCTTAAAAGACATCTTAAGCCGATCAGAATGCTTGCTTGCTTCCTTCCATGTAACATACTCATCCACCTCAGTGAGCACTTCAGGTATAATTCTCAAGTCAGGAGGTTGCACTGATTTGTGGCTAGGTGTTCAGAGTGCTGTGTTTTGGACCACATGAACTACAATAACTCTTTTAAGGGACTCCTGGCTCAGTTTAAGAAACACAGGAATTGGAAGCAGTTTATATAATACCTGTTCTCCTAAGGACTCAACATCCAAGGCCAGCTGCAGCCTGATCTTGTTGTCATCACTCATGCCGCCATTACTGCCAACAGGGTTGGGTGTGGCAGTTTTTCTGGCTTGCTTTAGTCTTTTCAAACTCTCTTCCATCTTCTTCACAGAACTCAGAACATCAGATACAGTTTCATAATACCTAAAGAAAATGACAAACATACTGGAGGATGAGAAAGAAGTCTAAGAAATGTGTGCATGAGGCAAACACAACAGTGTGACATGCGAAACAAGGTCTGGGGGAAAACACTGTAAAAAGAATAACTAATCTTCCAATTAAATGTACATCCTTGGTAGATGTTTAATGTGTGTTAAGGCTGAGAGAAGAAGATGGTCTCAAATGTATAAAGCTACCTTACGTCTCCCCTTCAAAGTCAGAGAATATAAGAATGTATTGCAGCATTTGTTTGGATGCTCCACAATAATATCAACAACTATTCACATTTACATAGAGTCTTTTAAAATGTGCAAACCATTTTGTTTATAATGCTCCTGTGAGGTAAGTAGTCTAAGTATTATCATTTCCATTTCACAGGTGAGAAAACTAAGGCTCTGAGAGGTTATGGGGTTTGCTGATTATTGAGAACTAGGAATGGTTTCAGAGTAGGTTCAGATGCAAGGCTGTTATTATTATATATTATTATAGAGGCCACTTGGGGTCTGACCAAGTCAAATAATTCAGAGCCAGATGGGATGGGAAAAATCAATCATACCCAGACAAATATGATTAAAATTCATTTTACTAAATGACAACATTTTCAATAAAACTTATTCATCTCCAATCATTCAGCTCTAAGTACAGGTACTTGCCAACTTATAAATAGGCAGTTTCCAAAGGTGATCTGTAAGAAGGTTATTTGGAACTTGGAATACTATATAAATGGAGGTCTGTTTAAGCCAAGCCTGTAGACTGGCAGTGAAAAGCAGGTGAACCCTAAAAAATTTCAATACTAATAATGAAACAGTAAGCCTGAACAAGGATATTTTTAAATTTTATTTTACGAATTGTGATGCTTTAAAAAAATAAAGAGAAGGATGAAGATAGAGAGACACTTGTATGAACTGTGCAGAAAACTTTACAGTTCTTTTCAAGAGCCTTGGAAACTAATGCTACTGTTTCTTTTTTATGTTTAACCTTGAAATATTTTCTTGGCATAGAGGAGATGCTTAATAAATGCTTACTGATTAACTGACACATATGTGTCACTATTACTATTTTCATGATTGGGTCATATTTTGACTCAAGTAGAATGGAAAAGGCAAAGAAAGTAGAGGACAAGAAGAAGGATAGAAAGGAAAGATGGAAGATGGGGCAGAGAGAAAGAAGGGTGAGGGAGGAAAAAAAAAAGGGAGAGGAAGAAAAGAAGAGGGAAGAGAGAAGGAAGAAGAAGTCAGCTAGTCACTCAACAAGTATTTTTATTCAGTTCTTATGATGTGCCAGGTACTGTGCTAAGCAGGAGGGATACAAAGAAAGGTGATAAACACAGTCCCCACCTTTAAGGAACTTATATTTTAATGTAAGAGACATCATGCAAAAAATTATATGTACAAGATATATATATAGTGTAAAGGGAAAGCAATCTCAAAGGGAAGGTACAAGCAGTGGGGGAGATAGGAAAGGCCTCATGTAGAGGGTGAGATTTGAGTAGAGTCATGAAGGAAGCCAGGAGGCCGAGGTCAAAAGAAAACAAAGAGCATTCTAAGCATGGGGGACAGGCAAGAAAAAGGCAAGGAGTCAGGAGATGGAGCTTGCTGTGTAAGGAACAACAAGACCAATGTCACATGACTGTAGAGCATGTGAAAGGAGGTGAAGAAGCCTGGAAAGGTAGGAAGGGGTCAAATTGTGAAGGGCTTTGAGAGCCTAAATGAGAAGGGAAGAGATTTTTCTGAGGATCTTAGTTAAGAGTCAGAAAAGAGGAAGCAAGGGGGCTTTAAAGGATGTACACACATCTTAAGAAAGAGCCTGCCTTAGGTAGAACTGAGTTGTGAGCAGTGGAAAAATGGAGGGCAATGCAGCCTATGCACAATGCAAAAGGAAAGAAGTGGTTTGGGGAGTGGGTAGGTGAGGAAATGTCTGGGAAATTGTTCTTTATAGGGGGTCCAGGAACTTGGCTGTTATCTAAAGATACGAGAGCTGAAGAATCTGGGGTGATGGGGAGGAATGGAGTCTGTGTTACAAATCAAAAGGCACATATTTGAAACATCAAAAGAACAAATGCTCTGACTTTTTCGGCTATTTTACCTTTATATGAACTTGATTTTCTAATTTGTCTCTGGCTTGGGACTTTTTTTTGAAACAGAGTATTTCATATATTTCTACTGTCATATTACTTACTTGTGAGTACTTTCTGAAAGAGCACCTTCTAACCACTGATGAACTATTGACTGCTTGAGTTTCTCCTTGTGCTCACTCTGAAGCTGGTAGAATGGCTTCAGAGCACTGTCCACGTAAGGGGAAGCTTTGGTCGGGGCCTCCTGTAATAGTGTTGGCACAGGGGTGGGGATGGGAAAATTGGGGTAGAAAGAAAAATGGAAGAGAATCACAACTCATTCAAAAATCTTAATGTCAAATTCATGTTGCAGGTGGACCTTCATTTGGAGAAAGGCACGGCATGTTTTAAAGTAAGACACATAGCTATACAATAAGCTGCTGAATGGCAAGGAATAATTGGGCTGTGAAGGATATGAAAAATGGAAAGCAATCATTCCAAAAAAATAGCTCCTCCCTTCCCCAATTTCCAAATGGTTACTGCAAATGAGAATAGAAGGGGTAAAATGCAGCATTCTGAACGATAAAACTGAGCACTTTAGCACAGTGCTCACAGTGTTTCTTTGTATCTGAGATGTAAGGAAAAAAAAGATGAAGTATAGGCACTGGTTATAAACCTCTAGCCAGAGGAGCCAAGAGCCCTTCTATCATCCCTACTCTGTACAGAACAACTGTAAGAGATAACAAGAAATCGTAGAATCCTTGTACCCACAAGGCTGACCAAATAACAGGCTTGCTAAATAAGAAACTGATTTTTATAACAACTCCAAAGGGATTCAGAATAAGTATACTTAACATTTCCTGACGATCTGTTAATAGCAAAGGAAGTAAAAATTAACTATACCAAAGGAAAAAAGAATTGAGAGGAAAAAAAACAGATTTCTTGGATACTCTAGAAGAAGGATAGTGAGAATAATGTAGGATGAGGAGAAAACAATAAGTCAAACAGGTACTAACAGTGACAAAAAATTCTCTAAATCAGTTTGCATAGAATGGAAAACTACAATTGTCTTTTTCAAACAAATGTGAAGGAAAAAAGGGAATCTTGTGCAGTTTTTCAACTTTTTAAAACCTTGTAATATTCCTTGAAAAGAAGGTAAGGTTATTCATCTTTTCTGATTCTTAACTCATTAAATAATTGTAGTAGTTCACATGATAACAGTTTAGAAAGTACTTTCCTTATAACCATCTTGTAAAATAGGCAATATAAGTATTAGCATCTCATTTAAAAAAAATTTTTTTTTTTTTTTTTTTTTGGCAATTGGGGTTAAGTGACTTGCCCAGGGTCTCACAGCTAGTAAGTGTCAAGTGCTTGGTCTGAGGCCGGATTTGAACTCAGGTCCTCCTGACTTCAGGCCCAGTGCTCTATCCACTGTGCCACCAAGCTGCCCCAGCATCCCATTTTAAATATAGGCAAACTAAGGATCAGGAAGTTTAGTAACTTGTCTAATCAGTCACTGACTATTAAGAGACACATTTAGACTGACTCATTTCTTTTGACTTCAAATGTAGGGTTCTATTGCCTCTAACAGGGTCACGCCAGAGCACGATTGTCAGGTCAGGAAAAAAAGCCAACAATATTCAAAAATCTGTGATTTTACCACTGAGAAAGACTTCAATCTATCGTCCTATCTCTTTCCTCTCCTTCACTGCCAAACTCTTCACTTACTTATAACCCCTTCAACTCACTTCTCAATGTGGTTTTGATCCCCACAACTCTACTGAAAACATTCTTTTCAAAGTCACTGATGACCTTATTACTTAACTTGTTTTTTCTTTCCTTAGCTTTCTTCACCTCTCTGTAGCATCTGATGCTTCTGGTTACCTCCTTCTTGATATCCTCTCCTTTGGCTTCTGGGTCTCTCCTACTTAACTCTGACCACTCCATTTTGTTCTCCTTTGCTGGCTCATCATGCTCCTTCCTTTTTAAATGTGGGTGGCCCTCAAGTCTATTTTTGCTTCTTTCTTCTCATGGTAACCTCATTCTCTTCCATGACTTCATCTGTCAATGCTAAAGTGATATCCCTTTATCATCAATGATTATCTATGTGGATAACTCTTAAATCCAGATGTCTACCTCTAATCTTTTTAGTCTCATACTTCCAGCTGTCTGTTGGGCATAATTAACGGCATTTCAAACTCTATATGACTAAAACTGAACTCATAATCTTACTCCCAAACCTATTCCTCACCTTAGTTTCTCTATTTCTACTCATGGTAGCAACATTTATTCTGTCACTCAGAATGGAAACCCTGGATCATCTCTGACTTCTCTCTTTTTCTCACCACTTTTATCCCATTAGTTGCCATGTACTATTACTTTTACCTCTACAATAGATTTCTGATATAGTTTTTCTTTTCTTGCTTCCACTGCAACAATCACAGTGGGACCTGGAGTCAGATGACTTAGCTCTTAGCTCTGCTATTCTCTCTGTGACCCTGGACAAGGTCATTCTTTCTGAATTGCAGTTTAGTCATCTATGAAAAAATGGATTTAGATAGTTAATCTTTAAAGGGCCTTCAAGCTCTCACATTTTATAATTTTAATAAGCCAAGCTATACCCTAACTAATCATCTTGCCTCTAATCTATCCTTTTCTTACCAATTTTCACATTCTCACATGAGTAATCTTCCTGATGCACATCTCTGATCAAATAGGTAGACTCAAAAAACTATCAGTGGGTCTCAGTTGTCTGCTGAATAAACCTACATGTTCCAGGCATTCGAGGCCTTCAACAATCTGGTGACAACCTACTCTCTCAGTCTTTTTTCATATGATTCCCCACTCACATACTCTATTCCAACCAAACTGGACTACTTTGGGGTTCTGTGTTATATTACTTAATTGCTATATCTTTGAAAAATAAAATAGTTTTTGTTTAATGAGACTGACCTTATTGGTTCTTCGGTAAAGTCTAGGAACTTCTAGGGCACTTTTCAGAAAACTGAAGCAGGACTCACTCAAGTCTTGGATGATCCTGTTACTCAGGGAAGGCATGCAGGAGGATAAAGAGATTTGAGAATCCTCAAGGGCTGCTGTTGAGGTATAAATATTCAAGTTAAACCTCTCTCCAAGATAAAATGTAAGTTTTATTTTAAATACTATATACCCTGTTATAATATCCACAAGAGCCTAAATCTCTAAATCAGAGTTAAAACAAGAACTTTTATTAAAAGAATTAAATGGGATATCAAAATAAACAAAATATTGCATTTGAGATGTTAAGGACTTACTTCAAAAGTTGAAGAGAAAAATATAAATGTTCACATAGTATTATGTTTTCATAAGTTCATTTTAAAATATTTACTGGTTAAAGAATTGTTAAGAGGTAGTAGACTTATTTTTACCTGAGATAGAGGAAAAGTTCTTGAAACCAATTACTTCAAGTTTGGGCTTGATTATTTCCAAGAGTTCTGGAAGCTGAAACAAATAAATAATGTATTCATTCTGCTGCTTTCTAAAAATATGTGCATTTTTTAGCTCCACAATGATTACACTATTATTAATATATTATAAACCTACAATTGGCATGTCTAATAATCTTGATCAGAGGAAAATAACATTCTTAATGTTTTCCTTATAAGTGTATTTAACAGTAAATGTAGTAAAAAGTGTAATTAGTGGTTGTTATATGGGAATTTGAAAAGAGGAAACAATATTTTTTTATTCTGTGATCCTCTTAACATATAACACAATCTTATTCACTCATATACCACAAAACATTATGTTTCTGGGTGGGAGGGGAGAGGGCAGAGAATAAAATTGTATATCAGAGGGCTTAATGAACATGCACACCACATACACTCTTTTTAACAATGAAAGCAAAACTGTGGCAGTTATATGAATGCCACAAAGGAAAAAAAATACAAACTATTAAGATCTGAACAGTTAATAAAGCTTAGCTGATGACTAAATGTTACCAGCAAATATTTCCTTAAGTAACCAAAATAAAAATTCACCACACACAAAGAGTATGCCCATAGAAGATTAGTATTAAGCTGCTATGATAAAGTAAGCATGAAAATGAAGTGGGAATCTAGTAAATACATATTTCAAAACTTCACTTTATATACTATCAAAAACAAACACATAGAAAGACGCATGATTTTTGGTAATAATTAAGAAATGTGAGTTACTCAAGAAGAGGATAACTATTATCTGTCCTGCATAGTTTTGACTTTCATCCAGGCAGGTCAGGAAAAACCAAATCTCTCCAAACCCCTTCTACCTCTATATTATAAGCCCCATCACGCCCAGTTGTGCAAAACTTAACAGTGACTATTATAACGCAAATTGATTAATATTGACATTTAAAAACAACACTGGAATGCATGCCTACTTGTTCCTGAAGTTTGTCAAGATCTGCAACCATATATACAAGCTGCGTATTGGAAATGAAAGCTACTGCTTGTGTTTCAGAAACACCATTTCCTTGGTCCTCATTGGTTCCTTGGGTAATGGAGGAAGACTCCTTGTTACTAGTTATGGAGGATTTTTTATTATCCTTGGCACTTTCATTGGAGAGAGGCCTGAGTAATAACTGAAAAATAATTTAATGATTAAAATTCCATTCAGGACAAACACTCTTAACTGCCATAAAATGACTTGTTGAACATGTTAAATTATGCTTAGCCTTATGCAAGGATACATAATGGGTACTCAGTAAACATCTACTGATAGGCTGGGCAAGCATCACATGATGACAGGTAGCCCCTGTAACTTATTTTTTCACTTTTGTAACCAATTTTAGATTAGCAAGAAAGAAACATCTTCGTATTTTCCTGTTCACCACCTTGATCAATCTTAGATCAATCTGAAACCATATAACAAATTACAGAGGTCCCCTCTCCACCTCAACGTTCAAGCATCTAACTTTTGATCCATAACATAGTTCTATGAAATCAAGTAAGGTTCAGAACTAATTAAAAAAAAAAAACAACCTCAAACTGTCTTGAAACAAACAGAAACAAGAACACCACAGTATTCTTTGCACAGCTACAGTTACAAAAAAGAAATCTGTTAACAGCACAATGGCAACAAGACAAAGTGTCATCTGCTTTTCAGAGCAGGGGGATGTACTAAGAGAAGAAGCAGCAGAGGACTCAAGGTAGTAAGAATCGGTGAGATTTATCAGGCATAACATCCTTTCAAACATATCTCATCATTCCTCTGTCCCTGATGTCATGTAGGAAATCTCAAACACTTCTATGTGGTTTTAGACAGAGAAGAGGGTTAGGCAAGAGCAAATAATGAGTAAGAGCATTAAGGTAGGAGCCAAAAGATCTGGATTTTATTTTTGGCTCTGCTACTGATTATCAATGAGACCTGAGCAATTTACTTGACATTTCTGAGCCTCAGCTTCCTCGCCGGTAAGATGATGGCATGAAAGTGATCTATTAGGATCCTTTTAGCTCTAACATTCTAGAGTCAACGAGGGTAAAATTCAACTAAGTTTTGCGGCACTACAGTCCTCTATATTTCGGGGACATAGAAAGCATAATGGTTAAAATTAAAATCACTAAGACTTTCGAGACATGTAAGAAGTTCCTGGGTTTTCATAGAAGGTGACCACCCTAGACTCTACAGGATCCTATCCTAGTCCAGCTGGCTTCCAGGTTCTTCACTCATTTAAGGAAAAAAAATGAATATAGATATACATAGTCTCCTATGTTTTCTTTTCTTTCATTTTTCTTTCTTTTGAATTTAAGCTCTGCCTGAGCTAAAGGATCTAACTTTAAGGTACACATTCCAGGTTCCATTAAGGCAAGAACTGCATCTCACTCATGCTTCTACCTTCCACAGTACCTAGCACAGAGTAGGAATACACTAATATTTGAAGAATGAATACTTAACAGAGCCTAATGCACCATTACAGAACATGTTACTACTTAATAAAGATATTATTTTTTTGAAATAAGAATAAATTTAGTACATTTTACAAAAACAGGAAAAGAAACCAACTATTTTTATTTATTTTCATCTCAAATAGTTTTAATAAAAGGAGCATCTTTTTCTAATTCGAGAATAATACTAAGAAAGTATCAAAAGATAATATATCCAACTATATAATTTTGAAATTATGAATGAAAAAGAACCTTTCAGTAGATGATGATTTTCAAGAACCGTGAAACAGTGAAAATGTGACAGTGCATGAATCTTAAAACAATACTTAAATAGAGAACTAAGGGCCTGGTATAGCCTTGAGCAAGTAAGTGGTAGCCCATTACAGTTTTTTAAAAATAGTAACTTTTCAAAACAGAAATCTGCCCTCTTGAACTTTTTGAAGAACAGTTTTAAGACAAGCTTAAATCTCATCACAATATTTAACTTATATTTATCTTTGATCTTATCAGCATTGATGATTAACACTTAAACACCCAGCCCTTACCTCGTTAACAAACATGGAGTACCGTGCTAAAATCTGTAAAGTGAGTTTCCACAGACGGTGTGCTAGCAATGGTAAAAACATCTGATCTGACCAACACTTCATAAGACTGACCCATGCCATATGAGAGGCCAAAAGGCAAAATGAGCTCCCAGCTAGGGGGGAAAAAACATACATTTAAGGGATCCCAGTCACCTTAAGTCAATTATGATCTATAAACTTTTTGTAAGTCTTATGTAACAAACTAATCTTTTCATTCCATGCTATTTAAGAACCAAAAAAGTGGTATTTTAAATTACTTGATTACTGTGAAGAAACTCAGTTTATTCCCAAGTTATATGGATAGTTATATAGTCTGCCAGTACTATTAAGATGATCCTAAGCTAATAACGCAGACAATTCTTCTATTAGAGATGTCTTTCTCATCACAGTTCTCTACTGACTAAATGAAACAACCAAAAGGAAATAAATACATTATATTCAGACAGCAATTTATTAAATCAAAGTCTTTGCCAGTTTGTTGATGACCAAATGTCCCCCTTCTTTAAATGCTACCTACTGAATATTTTGACAGTCACTAAAATCACTTAGAACATTGAAAAATGAATTTTGGGGGGTGGGGGGGGTGGAGGATAATGGTATAAGAAGGTATGCACCAAATCAATCAAATAAAGTTTAGGGACTTCTATTTCCTCTTTGCAATTATTTCTTTTACTCTTACCTTAACATACTCCATATTCATGCTATGGAAATTAAATGCTACCTGACTAGGTGTTCTCTGAGGTTCCTTGCACATCTAGGTGTATAACCTATGCTAAATAATACCTCATTTCTGGCCTGAGCAATAGCTTGCCACTAATTTTTCACCTTAGCACTGAAATTGTTATTGTGCTTAAACAGAAACTGGTATTGTTACAAAGAAATGGAACTCATGGTTTCTTGTTTCTTTGTTTTCTCACAAGGAAACTCTATAGAAATGTTCAGAGAATAAATAATATGGTGGTTCTGAGGTAAAATCAAAACATCTTCACTGATAAGTGATTATAATATATACAAATAAGGGGTCACAGAGTTGTGCTAAAATATTTTAATGGGTACATGTTGGCTATGGGAACCCAGCAGAGCAACTATGGTCCAGTCAATTTCTGAGGGAAGAAAATATCTATTCTGACCCTATATTAGTTTCATGTTTAGAATACCAGTCAAGGGCTCTTTCTGTACCAGAAGACAGAGACCAATACAGAGGACTGATTGACATGCATGCTTAGTTCTGATGGTCCAATAATTTTTCTATGAAAAATGGACATTTACACACTCTTTAAGGTGTCTCATTTTTATGTGGTAAATTCAGAATACAAATTCTGTTAGACTTAAAGATGATAATCATTTCAATACTCCTATATGAACAAGCACCAATGAAATGGACCCTTCTGGCTTCTACATTGCCAGTTCAATGTTTTTTGTTTTTTTTTTAAAGTACTACAGATTTTTTTTTTTAAATACCTGAATGTCTTAAGTATCCAGCTCTTAAAATATTATAAGGACATTAAGATCTAGAGGACTTGTTTATCTTAACTAACAATTAACATTCAGCCACATTTTGTCAATTACATATTATCAGCAAGTTACCTGGAGCTTCTTCCAGCCCATCTATAAGTGCTGCTTCTAAGGCTCCTGCTATTTCTCTAAATCTGATATGAAGAACAAGAATAACATAGTCATAATATGCAATTAAAACATATTAATCTTTAAATTACATATACTGTATCTATATGGTCATGGAGCTCCATGAAGATGAAAAATAAGCTTCATATGGGACTTAACATACCAATTATTCCATCCAAATTGGTAGGTTTTATTCTTTCAGTTCACTACTGTATCTATCTGTAGTGCCAAAAACAGTCGAATTTCTCTTGTCCTCCCTGACCCTAGAATGTGAGAGTTAAAAGGGGCCTCATAGACCCAGCTCCATCCCATCATCTTACTGGTGAGGAAGCTGATGCTCAGGACTGTGGAGTGACCTATTCAGGCCACACGATCAGTAGCCGAGCCAGAAACAGAAACCCGGCTCCCAGCTTAATCCTATTCACAGCTGATCATCTGAAAACTGATGTAGAGGGAGAGCAGAACCTCCCTGCTGGAGGGCTATTCAACATTTTAAGTCAAGGGCTACTTGGGGGAAAGTTAGGGAAGGGAAGATTGGCAGAACCTAAGGGATTAGTACTTAATACAGTTTAAAAATTAGTTTAAAACAAATACATCAAAAATCTCATACTGAGAGTGTTAAAATAGTTTCTTTGAACACACTAGTATTTAAAATAACTCTTTTATTGTGGTCTTTGGATTATATTCTTATTATTAATCATATTACCATAGTTGCTAAAGCTTGTTTTATGTGTATTTTATCTACTCCAAAGAAATGTAAACTCCCTGAAGGCAAGCAATGAACTATTAACTTGTACTCTAAGACCTCAAGCAATTTAATTAATTACTTTGAAAACAGCAGGTGCTCAATAGTACCAGTTTAAGGAAAAGGGACAAAGTTGTCTTATTTTCTCCTAAAACAGAAGCTTAAGGTCCTAGAATTTAATCTGAGTGAAGGCAACCAGAATCACACAATTTTAGAGCTGGAATGGACTTTGGCAGCCATCTAAGTCCAGTTCATAATTGAGAGAATCACGACTAAAACATCTGAGATGTAGTCATCCAACCTCTATCAGAAGACATCTCAGGGTTAGGGAATGGAGAACTTTCCTCACCTTTCAAGGTAGCCTATTACAATTTTGGTCAGCTCTAATTGTTGGGAAGTTTTTTCAGACACCAAAGCTGATCTGCCTCCAGATGGGCCTTCAAATACTTGAAGATAACTATCATATTCCCTGGAGTCTTCTTTTCTTGAGGTTTAACATTCCCAGTTCCTTCAACCACTTCTAATGATACAGACTCAAGGCCCTTAACCATGCAGTTGGCCTCCTCTGGATACTCTTTAGCTTTATCTAACGTCAATCTTAAATTGTGCAAACTGACTACAATAATCTAGATGGAGTATGACTAGTGTAAAGAGGGACCACCACCTTCTTATTCATGAAAGTATGCTTGCTCTAGTGCTCCACCTCCCTCCCTCCTTCCCTCTCTCTGTCTCTTTCTCTCTCTATACACACACACATTATACACCTCTCAATGAAGCCCCAAATTGCATTAGCTTTTCTGGCTACCTTATCAGACTGCTGGATCATATTTCCAGGTGGAAAGAGATATTAAATTTTAATTCAAGTAATCCTAAGAGGAAAGGGACACCATACAAAGACAGTATACACCTCTAATTTAACTGCAAAGAACACTTAGGGTGGAGAAAAAAAACAACAACATAAAATGTGCAACACTGGCATCAATATTTCCACACAAAAAAATTTCAACAAAATGCCTTCAATTTTTGTTTACTTTAAATGACTCTGATGCATATCATATGGCACAGTGACTATGTGTTTGCACAACTTTTTGTCACTCTTCATTAATAAACAATCCAACATGATAAAAATCAATAGCAATGTGCCACAACATTCTACCTGAAATTTATTTTAAATGGATAAACAACTGTGTTGAAAAATGTAACAAAAAAAGAATTTTTGTGAATTTTGAATAAATAGTGGTAAGTGGAAAAATCCACCAACTATTTTTAGCTGTGCAGGTAATGTTTAATTAAGCCAGGAATTTGGGGAAAGCAAAAGCCTTTTGGAGGAAAGTGCTGTTGTTCAACAATAATTCAGAGTTTCAATAATAGCTCTGAGAGAAGCCAGGACATCACATTGAGATTGACCCAGCCTGGCACACATCCTCGATATTCCAGGGTTGAAAAGAGCCTTACCTAGCCTAAAACAGGCAAGGCTTAGAAAGGTTATTATAAGAAGAAAGGGCTTTGAAGAAATGGTTTATGAAGGAATGATTTAGGGTTGGGGCTGTGCAGGGAAAGGAATGGAAAATGAACATAACAGAAACAGAAATGACAGGGAATGCATTTAGTCTGATTGGCTGCTGTTTCTCTTTTACAACACCATAATATTACGGAATATTCCTTTAATATATTTAAAAATTTGCCCATGAAATAAAAGGACAATGTGCCCTAAATTCACCTCATACAATTTTCATATGATACAACTGTTTCCAATTCAATACATTAATTTTTAAAACAAATGAATAACTCCTTGACCTCTCACTGAAAGACAAACGTACATTCTGGGCCAACTTAATGGGGAAGACATACTTCTGTGTCTGATAAGACACATTTCACCCTAATAAATGGGATTCAATTATCTAGAATAAAATTACATTTGCAATCATGACAGGCAATTATAATGCAAGTTTCCTCATTGCTAACATATTCCTCTTTCTGTGATTTTTTTTTTCTTCTCTACCTGGCAGAAGGATACTAACACAGATAATGAAAATATCAAAGCCCTTTAAAAAAGATAAAATTCTCAAAGTATTTCTACTAAAGTATTAGTTAAACTTTACCATGTGATGAAAACTATAATTATCTAATTACATAATTTTCTAGGTGTATCTTAATTACTATTATTACTACCTAATGATATTTATAATTTTTCCAATGGCACTTATAAATTAGTCTTTTCATCCCAAATTTCTCCCTTTTATTAAAAAGAGTACCATTATATTAGTAAAGTGGTTCAGTGCCACTGGTTTGTAGAACAGATGAAAAAGGAAAGCAAGATAATTAAATTATCAAAATTAAAAGTAGGGCTTTAAAATACTGGCCAACTGGACAATAAAGAGCATTATCTAGAACGACATTCGACTTAGGAAAAAATGCTAAAGATTCAAAATAGGGCTTTTTAATGTTTGGAACAGGAACAGCAATAAGGAAGAAATAGGCCTAATGGGTCAGTACAGAGAGTACTATTATCATTGATAAGAGACTAGACTAGATGACCTCTTAGATCTATTTCAATTCTAAGATTCTGATTCTAAAGTCAAGTAAATGCTTCCTTAATATCTATTTATTCAATATTATGAGTAAGATTTTACCTAATTTTCCAGATTTCAAACATCTTTAGAGTTGTTTCATAACCCCAGCTACACTAAAAATATCTCATTGCCCAATGCACTGTCTTATATTCCAGACCTGTTAGAAAAGCAGGCAGAAGAACAGAATAAAACTTCAAAATTTCTCAAAATTAGTTTCATTTGCATTGAAGTAATAAGTTACAGTGTGAAATCAAATTCAGTAAAAGTAAATAGCTTGAATCTTTTAATGGATTTTTTGCTGAGTTGTTTTTCAGTCATGTCCAACTCTTCATGACTCCATTTGGGGTTTTCTTGGCAAAGATACTAGAGTGGTTTGCCATGTCCTTTTCTAGTTAATTTTACAGATGAGTAAACTGCGGCAAACAGGTTTAAGTGATGTGTCCAGGGTCACAAAGCTAGAGAGTGTCTGAGGCTATATTTGAACTCACAGAGATGAGTCTTTCTGACTCTAAGCTTGGTGCTCTATCCACTGTGCCACCTAGCTGTTCCCTTCTACTTGATATCTTATATTTAAAATAGAAATTAAAAATATAAATGAAATATGCTGTTTTAAATGTCTGGTAGCACTTTGTGCATTCTACATTATTTATCTTTTCATTATCCCTGTAAGATAGGAAAGAAACAGTTATCTCAGCATTGCATAATGAACAGGGCAGTGAACATGGGAGTCAGACAGCCCTAGGTTCAAATCCTTCCTCAGACATTTACTCTGTGACCCTGGGAATGTCACTCAACCTCCTTCTGTGTCTGTTTCTTCATTTGTAAAATGAGGGCGGGGGCGGGCAGGAGTTAGAATCTATGGCCTCTAAGGTCCCTTCAAGTTCTAGATCTATGATTCTATGATCTTCATCTAGGATAGAGTGAAAATTGAGACAAAATAGCAGCTCAAAATTTATTATCTTCCCTCTCTAAACCTACTGTTCCTAACTTACCTGTTTCTGTTGAGACTGTTTCTAATCTTTCAGTCAACTATGTTTACTATCTCAGATTCATTTTCAACGTTTCACTCTTCTTCAACTCCCAAACCAATCAAATGCCAAAGCTTGGTAAATAACATGGCATCTCTTGCATCTGACTCATGCCTTCATCACCTCTTCTTGCTGGGACTATTGCATGAGTTTCCTAATTGGTTTTCCTGCATCCGGTTCTCACTCTTCTCTAATCCACCTTCCACACAGCTATCAAACTGATATCAGATAAAACACACAGCCACCTAGCTGCCCCTACAATCTATCTAGACTATTGCAATATCTTCCCCTAAGTAGTTTTTCCTCCTTTATTCCCTTCTACTTCAAGATCTGATCTTCTTGGTTCAAAATTCACCAACAGCTTCCCAAGTGACTATCAAATAAAGTAGCTTTCTATTGTTTGGCACCTCCCAATCTTTCTAGTATATCTCTGAGTTACTCCTTTCTTTGTGCAACACTTTTCCATAGGTCTGACCACATCATTCCCTGGCTTGAGAAGCTTCACAGGAATCTGATTTGCCTAAAGGATAAAACACACATTTCTGTTTGGTGGTAAGCATTCTTTGAAATCTGGCATCAACCTATATTTTCAGACTGATACCACCTTACTCCTTCTCAGCCCCACAACAATCCAGCTAAACTGACCTGTAAGATGTTTTTCCTATATGAAATTCCATATCTTGCTTCTGTATCTTTGCACAGGCTGTGCCTGAAATTTTCTCCCCCTCCTCCTTTCTGCCTCCTGGAATCCTTACCTAATTTCAAAGTTCAGTTCAAGGGCAACCTTCTCCAAAAGGTCTTCCTTTCTTAAATACTCTAGTTCTCTCCTGAAATTACTTTGTATTTATTTTACATATATATGTATTTGCAGTGTACGTCTTTCCTTCCCAGTAAAAATGTAAGCTCCTTAAGGGCAGGACTTGTTTCATTTTTATATTTGTTCTTTAGCCCCGAGCAAAGTATCTGATATTCATATGCATGTTGTGTTTGCCTGGTAGGATAAACATGTGTTATCTCATGTGTAATCTAGTATTCTGGCAGTGATGATATCATTTACAGACTGTAAACTTTATCACTAAAAGGAGAAAAGTGATAACCACAAATAAAGGCAGCTCTGATTAAAGACAAGATTCCTGATTAACATCTAAATTCAAAATAAATAAGGGGGGGGGATTTAACTACTGACCTTATTTGAAAATAAACAGGTAAGTTCCACTTGTTATTGAAACTGTGGTAGGCAGGATGTGATCTTAATCTTTTTACACTGGCCTGTGATCCACATTGTCGCTCAAATCTTCTGACAAAATCCATACTTATGGTGTACTTCTGTAATAAAAACAAAAAAACAATCTTTTAAATTGAGTTTCAATCCCCAACCAACATGCAATTAGTAAAGTATACTCATAAAAGCAATAATTCAGATCTGACATGGGTCAATACAATTTATTCTTCAACACAGAAGACTATACTTAAAGTCGGTTGTTCATAATGTGTGCCACTGGCCATAAATGAAATTGAAGGAGACTAGATTAAGGTGATTTCATTAGAAAAATAGGCTGAAGTACATGGGTAGTAGCATCATCTACACACATGAAGGACAGCACTTTATTCTACCCAAATGCAATGCAAGGAACAAGAAGGCAATAGTAAATATTCTTCCTATTTTCCACTACCGTGGTCCGCGTACAGAACCTTGCTGTATTCCATATTTTGTTGTTGTTCAGTCATTTTTTAGTTGTGTCCAACTCTTCAAGACCTCATTTGGGGTTTTCTTGGCAAAGATATTGGAGTGGTCTGCCGTTTCCTTCTGCAGCTCATCTATCAGATGAGGAAACTGAGGCAAAGTAAAATGACTTGTCCAGGGTCACACAGCTAGTAAGTGTCTGAGGCTGGATTTGAATTCAGGAAGATAAGTTTTCCTGCTCCAGACCTGGCACTCTACCCACTGTGCCACCTAGCTGCCCCTACAATCTATCTAGACTATTGCAATATCTTCCCCTAAGTAGTTTTTCCTCCTTTATTCCCTTCTACTTCAAGATCTGATCTTCTTGGTTCAAAATTCACCAATAGCTTCCCAAGTGCCTATCAAATAAAGTAGTTTTCTATTGTTTGGCACCTCCCAATCTTTCTAGTTTATCTCTGAGTTACTCCTTTCTTTGTGCAACACTTTTCCAACCTGGTCTCTATTCACAGTGCTTGTTAGCCCATAATGCCCTTTCTCATCTACTGAAACTCTACTTTTCCTTTACAGCTGAGTTTGAATGTCATCTTTTCTTTTTATAAATGGTTTCACGACCCTTCCCCTGACAGGCAGTTGTTTTGTATCTCTCTCAGGCACTTATCAAGAACAGTAGCATGATGGAGTAGAAAGAGTACTGGACTTGGGCCTGGCTCTGACACTTTACTTCTATAAACTTCAATTTCCTCGTATGTAAAATGAGGATAATAATATTTATGCCACCTATCTCTGAGCTGGGAATTAAATACTTTATAAATTGTGAAGTAAAATATGATCAATTATTGTAAGGCACAATTTTGTATTATAATTGGGTGTATACCATGCTGCCCTACTAGTCTGTGAATTCCTTGAAGGTAGGAACAGTATATTATCATTCTCAGTAAATCTCTCAGACCTAAGCATAGCAATCTGCAAACAGTGGGTGCCTAATAAATATTGGCCGAAGTTCAAAGAGTTGGACTGGTGCAGAGGCAGGAGAACATTCTAGAAAAAGGAAAAGAACAGATGGACTGAGCTCATGACTGGCTTTCAACAATGTAATTTTAGAGCCACACTATAGTCTATAGCATCGCAATAAAACAAACTATAATTACCTGCTTTTTGTGCTTTCTTGTGGTCATTGTTCTCATCCTAGGTTCTTATATATAATACATTTTATCACTGTGGGACACATTTTTGCTATCTACTCTGACTAAATGCAGATGTTATATATGTCCTTAAATTCCTCTTTAGGAAATCTGTATTATTCAATGGAATAGCATCATTTGTACCACAGAGATGCCAAACTACCAAAAGGCAAGTAGGTTAGTGATTATCCCGTAAACTTCAGTACTGAAGTGAGCTAACAAGGAGGGACAGGGGAGAAACTGTTTTGTGTAGGCAAAAAATACTGAAGAAGGATTTTTAAAGAGTTAATTGCCATCCCCAGAGAGATGTTATGGCTCAGATGGCCAGATGTAAAAATTTGACTCCGTTAGGTGGGAGGTTACATAGTTCCCTATTGGAAAAATGCAGAAACATCAGGAACACAGATTGGGTTGGTATTCTTCCTGGAGAAGTTGTTAATTACCCTCTCATGCTAAAGTTGGTCCTATATTAGTTACAAAATGTCCAGCACTACAAAAATTAATTCAAAATTTCTGTAGTGAGTACCTAAAGAGGGATCAGGTGGAATGGGGCCAAAATCTTATGGAAGTTGAGGAAAGGACTTCTTTGTCCCACCCTGTGCTTCAAAGAAGCCAAAAGAGATGCTCATCCCAAAGAGACTCCTAAAGAGAGTCACTCATCCCAACATGGGTGGGTGACTGATAATATTACTTGATGGTATGGGCAACAGAAAGTGCCCACATTCACTGGCAGCTCCTTCCCTGTCAGTTGGCCCTGAGTAGAAGAAAGCTAAGTTTGAGAAGCAAAGCTTTAGGTTTGTTATCTTTTCATCCTACTTTCTAGATGCCTGTTGTGTGAGGAAAATTGGGTGGAAAGGCATGGACCAGCAAGGCTCTAATGGGGCAGGCTACTTCCTCCTGCTGGCAGCTTGTGCCCAGAGAACAGCATGCAGGTGGCTGGTGGTGGAGATGGGAATAGGAGAAATCAAAGCAGGAAACTCTTATACTGAGATTTCCTCAAACTCCATTTTTCTCCCTTAGAGAGAAATATAACTCTTTACTTTAAACAGAAATTAGATGAATATTAAAAAAAGCATTTTGATGTCAAACTGGGGAGCTCATTATGGATTACTGTGACCAAAAAATCTTTCACAAGTTGGACAATCTCCTGATCACAGAATTTCCATACTTGGTGAGGCAAGGCCTTGGAAAGCAGGCACAGTCTACTACCAGACTACTCCCTACTGGAAAAGCCTCAAAAACTCAGGGTCAAAAAACAAAAAACAAAAAACAAAAAAAAAAAAACCCAAAAAAAACTCAGGGTCATTTCTGAGCCACAATAAGGTATCATTGTAGATCATCTGAGGGAGAACTAGTTACTAAAGAGTCAAAAGTATGACGCTAAACCCTCAGATAATTACTCTACAAATATAATATAGAATACCATGCAAGACTGGCATGGTGTCTTAAATGGCCATTGTCAAATAGCAATAAAAGAAAGTAATTTCACCCATGTACTTTAAGCTATTCTGAGTTTCAGGGTGAGGAAGCACTGTATAATAGAAAGGGCATTGGATTTAGAGTCAAGAGAGACCTACAACTGAATCCCAGCTATGAAAATTTCAGGTTATGTTACCTAGAGAAAGTTACTTAATCCCTCTAAGCTTCAGTTTGCTTATCTGTAAACTGAAGAAAATAATTTTATTGCCTAGCTTCTATAAATTTGTTGTAAGGAAGGTGTTTTGTACACCTTAAAGGTTTTTGTCTCTCTCCCCTTCCCTGCTTGGCACCAATTAATATGAATTTCATCATTCAAAAGTTGGAGGAAACAAAAAAAAGGAATGTCTTTTCTGGGCCTGATTCTCGATAAAAGGAAGATTAGGTTGAAAGAGGAAGAAATAATGGGAACCTTGGAGGAAAGTAACCATTCCAATTTGGAATGAATGATAAAGAAGGAAAGAAAAAGTTGGGCAAAATCTGATATATATTGTAGACTTTGGGAAGGTACATTTTAAAGTGGTCAAAAAAAGAATAGGAAGAATTCTAATGAAAGTAGTTCTGAAGGGATGACAGAATCACAAAATTGGAACTGGAAGCAATGGGAGCTAGGAGAGATATAAAAAAGTCATCTGGTTCAAACCTCTCCTTTTACAGATAAGGAAATTGAGGTCCAACAAGGTCAACTGAGTTGCCAAAAGAGACTAAGGTGAATGCACATGGAAATTACTGATTAACTTAGATTTTTTAAAAAAAGATACAAATAGGAGATAGAAATAAGATCAAGGTAATAAAAGGATGAATACAAAAACACAGATAAATCTGAAAAAAAATTTGAGGCTTCCAAGGGAAACTAAGGAAAACAAGAAGGACTTTTAAAAACTATATTGGGGAAAAGAACAGGACCAAAGAGGGGAAGGATCACCACTGCTCAGGGTAGATGCCATGATGACTAATAACTGAAAAGGAGCTACTCAACTTTTATTTTGTTCCTTGTTTCTAAGACAATAATCTCTGGAATGAGAAGGACCAAGACAAAAATGGCAAGGGAGTTGAAACCTAAAATAATAAAATAAGTAGCTCTTTATAGTTTCAACTGAGCAGCCCCAGGTGAACTAAGGGTACTGATAGAACTGGTGGATATGATTGATGAGCCACTGCCAATGATCTCTGAAACATCATTAAGAAGGAAAGAGATGCCTTAGGACTGGAGAAGGGCAATTTGTAATTTTCAAACAAGGGAAAAAGATGGGTTCTGAAAACTATATGCTAAAGAGTTTGACTTTGATAACTGGTAAAATTCTAAAGCATATCATTAAAGGTTAGGGAAAAGGAACTTATGATCACAAAGGGCCACATGGCTAATTAAGAATAAGGCACACCAAATTAACCACATGTTTTTTTTGACAGTACTACTAGACAGTGAGATCAGAGAAATATTAAACTTTGGTATATTTTTAGCAAAGCATCTGACAAAGTCTCTGGTGCTATTCTTGTAGAAAATATGGAGAGCTAGAAGCTACAGTCAGATGGATTTGAAGCTGTTTGAATGGTTGAACTCAAAGAGTTATCATTAATGGTTTTGTCAGCTTAGAAAGTGACTGATAATAGAATGCCCCAGTGATCTGATGTTGGCCCTATGTCATTTGACACTTTTAGCAATGACTTGGATAAAGGCATAGATGGTGTGCTTATCACATTTACAGATGACACAGAGCTAAGAGGAACAGCTAACATTAGAAGAGAGTTAAGACACAAAATGTAATCAGATAAAATTTAAAAGGGATAAAGGTAAAGTGTTATACTGTTAAAACAAACAAACAAACAAACAAACAAACAAACAAACAAAAACCTTTACTAATACCAAGATGGGGAAAGTATGCCTGGCCAATAATTCATCTGACAAAGTCAGCTGGCTTTAGGAGAGTGCAAGCTCAATGAGTCAAACTATGTGATATAGCAGCCAAAAAGAGCTACTGTGACGTTAGATGGCATTAAGAGAAGCATAGTGTCCTGGAAGGGGATAATGAAATTATATAAAATAAAATTATATAATTTTAAAATTTAAAATTAAAAATATTTAAAATTTAAAATTATATAAAATAAAATACTGAATTCTGCACTGGTCATACAACATCTGGAGTACTGAGTATAATCCTAAATGACATTTTAAGAAGGACACTGATAAGCTAGAGAGTATCCAAGAGAAGGCAACCAGGATGGTGCAGAGCCATCTGTCATAAGACTGGTTGAAAGAACTGGAAGTGTTTAGTTTGAAGAGGATAAGACTTGGAGAGAGACCTGATAGCTGCTTTCAAGTACTTGAAGGGCTTTCATCTGAAAGACGGATTAGACTTCTATACTTGACACCAAAAGGCAAAATTAGAAATACGTAGATGCAGTAGAATGGGATGCTTTTGGATGTGAACTCATGCAATGTTTTAATGACCATTTGTTGTAGTGGGCAGGTAGGAGTTTTGTGGAGAGAGAACTGGACCTGGAGTGAAGATAGATCTAAATTAAAATCTAGCCTCAGACACTTATTAGGTGAATGCCCCGGGCATGTCACTTAACTTCTGTCTGCCACAATTTCTTCTTTTGTAAAATGAGAATAATAATAACAAAAGCATTTACCTTCCATGTTTGTTGTGAGGATAAAATGGGGTATTTGTAAAGTACTTTGAAAGCCCTAAGTTCCAGAGAAATTCAGTTATTAATATTATCATCATCATTATTCGAGGGGATTCTTGTTCAGCTATGGGTTGTACTAGAAGTCTTCTGAAGTTCCTTCCTACTCAGATACTATACTTCTATGATCTAAGTCAGGAAATGACTCTTCATTTTTAAGGATACTATTATATTACTAAAATTGTAATACTAAGCAACTGATCCAGGCCTTTTATCATTTTAGTTTGAATACCTTTTGAGTAATTCCTAGTATCAGTTTGGATTCTTGAGAATGATTCACACTTAGGTAACAAGGCAATATTTTTGTTCCTAAAATAATATATAATTTACTTTATTAATTTAATCTCATAACATTTCACAAAATTCCAAATCTGAAAATCAATTCTAAAAAGTCCTGGCTTTTGAAATACATTAAATATATTAAAATGAAATGCTTCCACAAAAAATTCAAAATACTCAAGGAAATAATGAATTTCTTAAAAAAAAATTTAAAGAACTCAATTTATACTTATACATGACTTTTGTTATCTGAGTTATACTACAAATGGTTAAATTAAAACTTCCTACTCCTTCAAAGTATTAGTGATCTAAACTTGGATAAAAACTTTTGCGCAAGTGCACATTTTACAGTAGATACATGATCATATAATAGCAAGATTTTTTCTTTTCTTTCTTTCTTTTTTTTTAAATGAACCACAGTACTCAGAAAATGGAATGGAGGACATGGTATTTTTTAAATCCCTGACCCTCAAAATGGAACTGAGAAGCATCAAAATACTTTAAAAATTTAAAAAAAAAAATTACCTCATGGAACGAATCTGGATTCCCAGGATTAAATAATGAAGGTAGTTTCTCTTCTAAACCATGCACTATTTCTGGCCACACAGAATTCACCAGAAAATCATATCCAGGAACAGTATTACCCTTTTCACTGTGAGATAAATATGGCAAGATTTCAGTTTAGTGCATTCCAATTTGGAATGTCTCTTCTTTATACAAAAATCAAATGCTACAGTGATGTCCCTACTAAATGTTCTTCACTCTAGAACTTAGTTTACATCTCTGTCTACTCTCCCTCACAAATACTTTTGCCCCTCTTCCCTAATCTCAATTCAGCTCTTCAGTCATAGCCTTATTCTCAAATCTGACAGTTTTTAATCTGTTCCCTAACCCCACTACTACTTTACAACCTTAGGCTCTAGAGTTCTGACTACTTAATCCACATTGTGCTGCAAGCCCATGACTAATACAGGGCAGGAACTTTAAAAACTTTTAGGAATGTCACTACCACTACAAACCCTGAAAATTTCATTGTTGTTACATTTTCATAGAAAATATGCAGCCCCCACCATAAAAGAAAATTATATTTTTGTTCAAATTGCCATTAATTCATAGTACTACAGGATATGAAGTGGAAGAAACCATAGAGATCGTCTGTCTCGTCCAACCTCCTCATTTTACGATTGAAGAAACTGAGGTCCAGAAAGATTAAGTGATTTTGTCCAAGAACAGCATAACTGGAATTCAAACTTCAGATGTGTCTTCCCATCCAGTGTTTTGGTCACTACACCATGGCTATCTGCTATATCTTTCCCCCAAATCAACAAGTTTGATGTAGGTTATTCAGCTTCAAAAGCCAATGAACCAGTAAGTACTTCAAGCAAAATTTTGACAGATAATGTCCTTAAAGAAATGAGGAAGAACAGATTCAAATTTCTTTCACACAGTATTTCTAATTAGTAAGATCTCTAAATAAAGAGCAATGCAGAATTTTTTCTGAAACGATATTATCTTTTATATAAACAGCAACCATCACAATCTGGCCACTGAGTTGTTGTCTAATGATTTTTTTTGTTCTAGTTTAGTATTTTCTAAGCAACAAATGAAAAAGTGGACTTATTTTAGCAAAACTGGAAAATAAATGTCTTAGAACTAAACTGTTTTCCTAAAATAGGGCTTGTTAACATTTGACAATGGTGCTAAAGTATTGTGCCAAAATCCCATCTTTATTCTTCATAATATTCTAGCTTAGCAAAAATGGTAGTTCTTTCTACAGGTACTAGTATGAAAGCGGAAGAGGGAGAAGGAGTAGCAATTTTTTAAGTATTACATTTTTAATTGCACATAGATGAATTTTAAATTAAGAAATTTGGAAACTGAAGAAAAAAGGAGGATTTTGCTATTCTGGCTTTGGATATCACAATAATTAAAACTGAAAAGGGCTTAAAATTTATTGAAAGTAACAAATGAAACACAAAAAATAAATTAAAAGCATACAACACCTGCAAGCAGATAGTCAATTAAGTCAATCTGTAGTGTTCAGAGAATATAGCTTAAGCCTTGCTAGCTTTAGAAGCATTTTACATCGCTGTGATTACTGCTACTTATAATAGTTAACTGCAAATGACAGCATATTAATGTGAATAAAATTTTATTTTATAAATGATAATCTAAGTTTAGCTTCTTATTATTCATGTGACATTGGCCAAAAATCACTTAACCTCTACAGGTCTCAATTTTCTCACATGTAAAATGATGGGGTTGGATTAGATATTCACCACAGTCCTTTCCAGCTGTAAATTATATGATCTTATAAAATACCCTCTAGGAATTTAAACATTCAATGTTTAAATCATTCTTTGTGTGTATAGAAGATAAATATGAAACAAGACATGTAACACTATAATGATAATAATACATTTATATAGCACTTACCATGTGCCAGGCACTGTGCTTTACAATTATTATCTTTTGATCCTCACAACAACCCTCGGAGATAAATGCTATTATTACCCCCATTTTACAGATGAGAAAAATGAAACAAACAGAGGTTAGGGGATTTGCTCAGGGTCACTTGGGTAGTTAGTTTTTAAAGCTGGATTTGAATTCAGGTTTTAATGTACAGTCAGGGGTCCAAGCCCAAGAACAAACTGGTATTCACATTAAGTACAGTTAAGTGTTTGTGCCTTGGAGCAGAGGAAGATAATTTCGTATTTATTCATGGAAGATTTCATGAAGTAAACATAATTTTAAATAATTCTTGGAGAAGGTGAAAGATAGGGACTTGTGGAATATAGACCATTTATGTGTGGAAAAATACACTGAAGAATACTTGGGAAACACCCAACCCTGTTCCTCTGTAGAGGTGGAAGGTCTTCAAGTTGTACACTGCACATATTTTCAGACTTTTAGGATTTATTTATGCTGATTTTTTCCTCTTCCATTTCCTTTTTTGTTTTTAAAATATATTATTTGTTATATGGAATAGCTCTCTGGGAGAGGAAGATGAAAGAATGCTGGGGGTGTTAGGATGATATTTAAAAAAAAAGAAAACTGTTCATAAAAACTTATTTTGTTAAAAAAAAAAAGAATACTTAGGAGCACAAGTACTGGAAAAAGAGAAATGCAAGCAAGTTTCTTAAAGGGCAGGGACTATCCTTCTTTTTGCTTGTATTTCCAGCACTTTAGTGCATTACCTTGAAGACAGTAAGCACTTAATAAATGATTGTTGACTGAATGACAAGTACATTCAAGAACCTGGTTAAGGTAACATAACATATATGAGGAAATTCTGGAGCATTTTGATAGAGGTCTTATAACTAAAGGATCTGATTAATGACACTACCATTCTGATGCCTCAGATTTCATGAACTGCTACAGTTAGTAAAATTACAATGAGAAGACAGCAGAAAAGACAATGTAAAACATTCAGTCTTGACAATTCAGGACTAATAATGGACTTGTCAAAGCCTAGAGGTTGAATAATTGTCCTGTCATTATAACTAATTGTTTAATGTGTGAAGTAATTTTATAAGCTTTCTAGCAAATTCTCATCCCAAACTCAAAAGATTGCTGCTGTTATTTTATATAAAGGTGATTAAAAAAATTGGTCTCGGTTAAAGTCTTTTATCAGAAATAATAAGTAACAACTGAAAGGCCAATAAACGTATTTATTACCTCAGATTTTCAAATAGCAAAAATCTAAATATATAAATAATATGTAGCAGTTTTTGATTTGCATTTAATCTACACATACCCTCAAAGAATTAGTGATATTCAGACACAGGCTTTAGGATTTAGAAAGAAGGAAAGGAAGCAACTTTAATGGTAAATGACAAAACTGCAAGTTGTTAAGAGTACTTTACAGCTTGAAATCTAAGCATGATAATGAAACTGAAGGGCAAGCTAAAGAAGTTACAGTACCTTGAGATGGCTCCTCCTGTGACTTCTCTAAGAAGGCGGCAATGGTGAGGAACAAATTCCAACAACTTATTATACATTGTTTGAAGGCCTTTTGGATGAGATTGAACAAACTGTTCTACAATCACCTGTCAGCAAAAGTAACAATATAAAGCATCTAAACAAATGGAGATGGATTATTGACACAAAAAATGGTGAAAAATCTCAAAAACCTAACCCTGCTCTCCCAAATCAATGAATATTACAGTTAGCACACAATGTTTCTTAGAATAGTTATAACAATAACATTATCCCATCAAGTGGCATGACAAGAAAGGCCAACTTTGACCCTACAGAAATACATGTCATGCAGAGGAGTTCTGACACTGGCAGATCAGCACTTTTCAGCTGCTTCTCTTTAACATTATGCCTCTTGGTGATGCTGATAGGAAAGCAATGGGCTAGGTACTGATTCAGGGAATTGTGTTCCATTGCAAAAAAATTCTTTTTCTACTTGGTGAATGATTTTGTGATTATCTCACCCTGTTTCCTCCACCCCCATTCAGATAAAAAGTTTATTGGATCATGGAGGGACAAGGATATAGAAAAAAGAAATTATGGAGTAAATAAAGAGAAAGAAAAAAGTTTTTGTTATTTAAAGGTAATATGGTTGACAACACGTTCCAATTAAGTCTCTTGTGGTTGGTTTGATATCTTACTAAAGATATTAACGACAGACTATGGGCTCTGGATCCCCCTATACACATACACTTTGAACTTTCCAAAGAATTTTAGGAATCCAGCTGCTTTACCTTCCCACATATCCCCACCTAAATACTCAATAATCCTATCAACTGTCCTCCCTCTGACCCAGCCCAGCCCTTCATTGTCTGTTACCTCTGGACCACACCAAGCTTCTTCTACTCCTAATCCCCCCTTCCCTGTTACTTCTGGGTCACCCTAGGCTATTAGTCAATCCTTGATTCCATCCAAATCTTCCCACAATCCTTTTCACTATAAAAAAGAGTCAGTCTTGTCTATCAAAGGTAGAGATTCTTAAAATCCTGCCTGCTTCTAATGCGGATACAATAAATTTTGTCTGACTGAGAGAAGGCTTGAGTGGTCAAATTCTTTCAAGGCAGACTCATGCCTTTTGCCCTTGAATTTCAGGGTTCCCAAGACCCCCAGACCACATTTCCAACCTAAAATATTCCTTTAACTTCAACTGCAATCTTTTTTACTGTTAACCAAAACAATACCATAAGTCCATGAGACATAGATTTATTACAAGAGAAAGACACGTGCATTTGGAAACTCCTTATACCAAGGAGCTCAGTGGCTCAGGGAAAGCCTTAGGCATTTAAGTTTACAGGGAAAGGCAATGGCAAAAGTGGTATTGTTTTCCCTTAGGAACTGCTAGACCATGAAGATATGATGGTCTGCTTACATACAAGGGTTCCAACTACACAAAACAGTTTCTCAATGTGGTACAGACTGGCACCTGTCTTGTCTCCCAAGGATACATATGGAGTCCAGCTTGGGGTGCAAACAACAAATTATGTCAGCTCAAGGTAGGGCTTCATCTTTAACATGTTCAGGGCCTCCTGCAAACTTTGGGGTCCAATGTGTCTGGAAAATATGGCAACTCAAGAAGACAAGTTCAGGGGGCCCCTTAATAACATGTAATATTACAGAAAAAGTTATATACTTGTTTTGCCTCCATTTCCTTTCCTTATTTCTCAACTCCTTTTCTTTTGTCTTTTGACCTCATCATTCAATTGAAACTGCTCTCAGTAGGGTCACCAATGACTCCTTAATTGCTAAATCTGATGGGCTTTTCTTAGACCTCAATCTTCCTGACCTCCTTGTAGTCACCCAGGTTTGCAAGCTTAGATTCTTCCTCAACTCTTCCCTTTTTGTCATTCCCTATATCCAATCAGTTGTCAAATCTTGTTGATTTTGCCTCAACAGCTAGTTCAGGCTTTTGTCATATCTTACCTAGACTAGTTCAGTAGCCTCCTAATAAGTCTCCCTGCCACCAATTTCTATCCTCCTACAATCTATCACCTGCCAAACTGTTATTTCTAAAACACAGGGTGACCATAACTCCTTATCCCACATTCCCCACAGAAGAATGTAAGCTTGAGGGCGGAAATAACTTTTGTTTTTTTCATTTGTTCCCACAGTACCTAGAACAAGGTCTGCAATAGTGCCGAGCACAAAAGAGGAACTACATGAATGCTCCCCATTATCACGCAGTCATTTATTTTGAAGTCAATAGCCCTGGGATAAAATGCAAACTCCCTTTTCCAGGCTGGTATTTGAAGCCTTTCACAAAAGAGCCCCACTCTTCTTTGTAGAAATATTAGTGGGAGAGGGAGAGGGAGAGAGGGAAAGAGAGAGAGAAAACTTAAGTACTTAGTAGGTGGTAGGAATTGTGCTAATTAAACCTTGGGAATAAAAATATAATAAAGTAAGATAGTCCTTGCCCTCAAGAAGTTTACATTTTAGTTGATATTTCCAGCACAAAACGTTCTAGCTCCTTTCTCCATGTCTGTCACTCATGCCTGGAATGAATCTCATCCTCACAGAATACCTAACTGCTTTCAAGGTTTAGCTCGAGCTAATTGCTCTAAGGTGTATTTTTCGACCTTCAGAGTTGTTAGTACTCTCCCCCACAAAATTATTTTTTTTCTGCATTTTATTATTTTATTTTTTGTATTGCATTAAGAGGCAACATGGAGTTACTACTGATGGAGAACTGACCTTTGAATCAGAAAGGCTAGTTGTATGAACAGGGGCAAATATCTTAACCTCTCAATTAGCCCAGGCATTTTAAGACTCTGAGTGATTAACAAGGTGCTGATCTACACTGATGGGAGGAATTTCCAAAATAAAAGTTCCCTGTGCTTATGAAATCAAAGGCCTGCCACCTCCACACCCTACCCTGCTATGTCCTTATCTGTGTTCATGTTATTTCTTCTCAGTAGAAGCTATTTGAGGGTGAGGATTATTTTGTTTGGGTCTTTGTAGTCAATGCTTTTTGAATAAATACTCTATTTTCAGTTCTATAATAAAACGAATAACAGGCACAAAATCTAGAGACAGTAGTATGATACAGTAGAAAGAACCCTGGCCTTGGAGTCAGTGACCCTGGGTTCCAATTCTCCCTCTGCCACTCATTACCTGTGACCTATGTGACCTTGGATGAATGACTTCATCTCTCTGGTTTTCTCAATTGTAAAAAGAAGGAACTGTCCAGGTGGCCTCTAAGGTTTCTTCTAGTTCTAAATCTATGATCCTAGGAAATAAGATCCTTCAGAATAACTGATAAAGGAATTGCTTGAAATCAACCACCATTTTCCTCCTAATAAGACAGTTATGAAAGAGAATGTAAGAGGAAACACGCAGAACAAGAGAAAATCTCATTTGTTTCTGCTAATGTGATATCTGATTTTATTTTAAATGGTTCCTAAAGTGTTATTTTCATCACTTAGATCCAAAGAACTGCTGTGGAAGCATTGGACTGTTCACTTTCTTTTAAATGAGGGTTATCCAGTCATAAAGAAGTGGGAATTAAACCATGCTGGAGAATGGGCTGCTCTAATAAAGGCAGCTGATGAGGGACTGAAGACAACTTTAGCTTAATGTTGGCTGGGAGACAGAGAGAATACAGATTGTTAGCATGAAGAATTTAGGTTTCTGCGAGAAAAGAGCTCTCTCAGTAACTAGAAAGTGCTAGATAAATGAGATATTATTATTTAGTAGCCTTCAGTCCAACCTCTACCTAAAAGAGAATCCTACCACTCTACCATATCCTCAAATGGCCACCCAACCTATGCTGGAAGACCTCTGATAAGGGAGAATCCACTGCTAACTCAGTTTAAGTACTAGGGAGAATTCTGTAGTTTCAAAGGTGATGAAATCTTGATATGAGTGCTATGGATATATATGTATATACACACACAAATACAAAGACACACATGGTTATTTTTAAAAATATGTATTTCTAATTTATTTTATGGGTTTAATACAGATTCAGCCTAACCAACATCTTTGGTACCATACAATAACTGATGTTTATATTGGTAATTTGAGATTATAAAATGAAGTACTTCCTGTGTGTGAAAAAAAGATTAGATTATGTATAGCATAGTCTTAAGTACTTTAATTTAATTTTTTAATTACTAGAAAATCTGGGGGGGCAGCTAGGTGGTGCAGTGGATACAGCATTGGCCCTGGAGTCAGGAGGGCCTGAGTTCAAATCCAGCCTCAGACACTTGACACTTACTAGCTATGGGACCCTGGATAAGTCACTTAACCCCATCTGCCTCACTAATAAATAAATAATCTGTAATAAATGCAGTTAATTGGCATAATACAATAATGCAATTACTGCAATGATACAGAAATGTGTCATATTTTTATATAGCCCTTTATAGTTCCACAAACATTATCTCTTTTGAGCCTCACACCAATTCTGTGAGATAGGTGGGTCTCGCAATATTATCTATATTCCAAAGAAATTAAAACTCAGTTTTAGTTAGTTCACCCAAGATCACAGCCACTAAGTGGCAAAAGGAGAATTAACTAGGACAGGTGAATTCAAGTCTAGACCTTTTTCCACTATACTATATTCCTCTTATAGAAATACCTGATTAATAGGAGCACGTTGTTTATCCAACTACTTTGGTTAACTATGAATTTATTGTAGTTTTAGTAGGAAATTATACTTTAGAGAGGTTAATGGTATAAAGATTTCCAATTAGTTGACAAAAAATCTGTGAGCAGTGCTGGCTCAGGTTCACAATGATAGAAAGCTTCGGCTATCCAGAACTTTTATGAAATGAGTCATTATGAAATAGCTGAATTTTCTGACAAGTTGAGGCTTTACCACATAAGCACCCAAACTTTTATTTTAATCATTTCCAGCAGAAAACTCTCCAAAATGTATTAAGCTGATTATACCAAACATAATGTGGCCTCAAGTTGAGAAGACTGAATGGCTTTTCTCAATTATCTGTGTGAATATCAAATCCAATTATTTGGAAGGCAATGATACTCACAGGACCTACTGAGGTGGGTTAAGCTACTTGTGCCTGCATTAAACTGTCTCAGACCACCCACTCTTCTGAATTCTTGCATTTGTTTTTTAATAGTTTTTCTTCAGTTTACCTTGCTATGAATCGTTTCTTCTCATTGTCAATGTGTCTCCAATAAGAAGTCCTTTCCAATGTGTTCTATTTCTAATCTGCTGTAGTTTAGAAATTTTGTTAGAATTGTATGAAAAATAAGAAAAAAGATACCCTGAGTGAGGCACTGGGAAGCTATAAATTAAGTGAATGAATCTAAAACATGAACTTTGTGATATCATTTTGGCTAAATAAGACATCTCTTTTAAACTATTCATTGCTTTTAGTTGTATTCTGAATGTGAACTGTTATAATTCTCCTTCCTCTAGACAGTCAGCCTTCAACATTTGTGGTTTGGGTTAATCATCAATAATTAAACAGAAATTTTTGGAGATTTGTAGAATACTGCAGAAAATCACAGATGACGTACATATGTACAGAAAACAAAAAAAATTAGTTAAGTCATAAATGCATAAATATTGTATATATTAATATATTTTATTATTTACTACCATAAGTATATGTACATTAATGTATCATAAACAGTTACATTTTGTTAAAAGTTTCAATGCGAAAGAATTATGGGCAAAAGACTATCTTTGGGAACCCCTCTTCTCTGTCTCTCTACCATCCAGACTCAGTCACATGATTTTCTCTCACAGTAATCACTGTATCTTGTGCTTTTTGTAGAAGGAAATCCATGAAATAGCTGCTGCAAAGACTCTGCATAGTGTGAGAGATACTAATCTCTTCCACATAGAAACTGCAATTTTTTTAAGGGGTGTAATGTGTTGTTTCACTTGTTTTGTGTGTTAAATAAATATGACCAGAATTATTAAAAATAAAGGTTTGGAGTGGAGCCTAGAGTAATTTGAGGTTTTTCACATTTGCAGGAGTTCTGCTCCCCTAACTCTCATGAATGTCAAGGGACAACTGTACCTGTTAATTTTCCAAATAAAAAAATCTTGTAGTGTACATACCTCATCAATGTATGGCTTCACTAGTACTTGTCCAACTAATGCCTCTGCATCTCGTGTCTTGTCAATTGTTGCATAAGTCCTCAAGCAATGACGTATTATATCAACATTAGAAGTCTGGAGACCTTCTAATAGTAGTCCTTCTAGTGACTGTTGCAACATGGCTGTAATACCAGCGATACGCTATAAGAAAGAGAAAAATAGTAAAATATAAGCCCCCAAACCTCTAGCTTACAACAATGATTTTTTTACAAAGTTTCCTGCCCCAAGACAAACCATAATATAGTCAAAATTAACAATGGTATTCAAATTCCTGGAAAAACAAACAAGAATTTCATACACAAAATAGAGGGAAGAATAAAATATTTTTAAAAAAATGAAACTTGTAATCATCACAGATTTAAAGATTCTCTAAGAAGCTTGGAAAACTAAAGTTGACCACTTCTTGGATTATATGCAATTGTTACATATGATTTACTCTTCATATATTTGTATAGTGCATTATAATTTTTAAAAAATGTTCACATATACTGTATCACTTAATTCTAACTGCCTTTGGGGTTCAGGAGAACAAGTAGAATCCCCATTTTTTTCAGAAGCTCCAAGAGGTTAGTAATAATTATAACTGCTAGAATTTTACAAAGTTAAGATTTGCAAAGATGAAGACATTAAGGCTCAAAAAAAATTAAGTGACTTGCCCAGGATCACATACAGAGTTAATGTTTGAGGCAAGATTTGAATTCAGGTCTAACACTATACTCATTGTGCCACATAGTTAAATCACCTGCGAAGGATCAAAAGTCCAATAAGGAGTGTGACTAAAATTAGGACCCAGGTCTTCTAAATCCACAAGTATGGTGCTCATTGTTTACACACCACAGTCCCTCTCTGGATGTATCACTAGAGAAAACAAAAAACTGAACTACGCACATTCCTAAATATATTAATGTCCTAAATCCCCTAAACCCATGAAAATCAAAATGATACTTACTGGTCTCACTTTATCCAAAAGAGGCATTCCTTTGCTTTGAACAGCATGAAATTGTAACTGGTTAAACTCTGTGGCAATTCTCTCTAAAATCTGCCCAGTCAAAAGTGGGCTAAAAAGAAAACGATTAAAGGAAAACTTTATAATATATAAAATTTAACTAATTCATTGTGTTTTCTCTTATCTGTCATTTTAAAAAAAATCTATACTATTACTTTAGTTAATTTATTTTTAGAAAATAATATTCCAAACTTGGTTACTATCAACAAAGACATTTGAATACACAAAAATGAAAAATAATTACATACAAGACTGTAAACATTATTGATTATAATTTGTATTCTAAAATGTGGATGTTAACATTGAAAAACTACTCCTAGGTCCTCTTCTGGACTCTATTCTCTTCTGGGCATTTTTACAAATTTTATGACTATTAAAAATATCATTATATAATTTGCCTTGCATAATGTCAATGTACATATTACTATTTTTCTTTTCTTGTCTCCAGTGACCTTTTTCCATATCTAACTATTTAAAAGGCTAAACTTGAAAATTATTTCCCTTTCTCTGAATCTTTTCCAACTTGTGAGAACCAAGTATGTGCAGAGCATTATGTTAGATCCTAAGGTAAATGGCAAAGGAATAGCCAATAGTTTTTACCTACTGACACCCTCGATTGAACTGTAGAGCACTAACTCTGAACATAGATTAAGACTAGAACTAGGACTTTAGACAATAAGGTGAACCAATTTTTTAAAATTTTTATATGTTTCTGCCATTATTTCTCTGTTTTTCTATTTGCTGCTTCCAACTTGACTCCCAAACGTTCTCTTCACTTGCCATACTATTTATAGCTAGCATTTATATAGTGATTTAATGTTTGAAAACATGCATCATCTTATTTGTATCATATATTACATGTATCATCTTAACTGATCCTCACAATAATCTGTAAGGTAGATTCTCTTACTATTCTGTCAAATAGTCAATAAACATTTATTAAGCATCTGCTATGTGCCAGGCACTGTGCTACATGTTGGGGATACAAAAAGAAGCAAAAGACAGTCCCTGTCTTCAAGGAGCTTACAATCTAAGAGGGAAAACACTAGAATTAAGACGGGTTGGGAAAGGCCTCCTGTAGGAGATGGATTTTAGCCGGCACTTGAAAAAGCCAGGGAAGCCAGGAGACACAAATAAGAAAGGAGAGTATTATAGGGATGGGAGACAACCAACTGAGAGGTGCAATGCTTGTTAGTGGAACAGCCAGAAGGCCAGTGTCATTGGATCAGATTATATGAAGGGTAGTAAAGTATACAAAGACGAGAAAGGTAGGGGAATGCTAGGTTAATGGGCTTTGAAAGCCAAACAGAGCATTTTGTATTTGCTTCTGGAGGCAACAGGAAGCCACTGGAGTCTGAGTAGAGGGGTGACATGGTCATGAACCATGAAAGGAAAATCACTTTAGTGGTTGAATGGAGAATGGATTAGAGAAGAAACTTGTGGCAAGCAAAACCACGCGGGAGATAAATGCAAATAATCCAGGTATGAGGTGATGAGGGCCTGTAACAGAGTGGCGGCAATGTCTAAGGATAGAAGGGAGTGTACTGGAGAGATGTTGCACAGGTGAAATTGACAGGCCTTGGATATGAAGGGTAAGAGACAGCAGAAATCCAGGATGTCACCAAGGTTCTGAGCCTGAGGGACTGGGGAGGATGGTGTTGCCTGAGGGGGCAGTGAGGAAACTATTGTTGAGAGAACTAAATGGCTTATCCAGATTTACATAGTGTCCCAGGCAGGACCCAAACTTAGGTCTTCCTGTTCAAGTCCAATACTGTGCCACCAACGTAAATCTTCCCTTTCCTAAATTTAATTCTTCTTCTTCCTGAGAACTGTCTACCTTTTCATAATTTGTTACTTTAATAAAATAAAAATGGCCCTCAAAATAGCAAAAATAGCAAACTAAAAATCTGTTTTGTGTATATGCTTACTTTTAATTTTTTATGAGGGCAGGGAGCAAATTTCACAATCTCACGAATAAAGATGTTAATGAATATAAAACATAGAACTTACAAATTAGAATCAAGTAGAAGTAATTAAATGTATGATATAATCTCATCTAAAGGATAATGGTATTAAGCACAATTTAGATGTAAGACAATTCAAGAACCTCTAATAATAAAGAATTCACTAGCAACTGAGGTAACCCATTACATTTTTTGAGAACTTTTATTCTAATTAGGTTGAAACCAATTTTTCTGCAACTTTTACCCATTGTTCCTAGTTCTGTCCTGGGCCAAATAAAACAAATTAAATCTCTTTTTCACATGTGATAGCTGTTTCACTCTAAGTCTTCTCTTCTCCAGGCTAAGCATCTTAATTTTCTTCAACTGATACTTCATGACACGATTTTAAGTCCCCATACCACCTTAGTCATTGCTTTCTTCCTAGTGCTTTCCAGTGTGATACCATCCTGGCAAATGTTCTGGCACCCAAAACTGAACAAAGCATCTCAGATTTGGTCTGACCAGGGCACAATAACCTTTTTCATTCAAAGAATCACAGCTCTGGAGTTGGAAGGGCCATCTAGTCCAACTCTGGACACTATACTTCCATTAACACTGCCTAAGACTGCATTAGCCTTTTCAGTGGCCACATTACACTGATGACTTACAGTTATTCAAATACTCCTGTCGTTTTCACATTTTTGTCTAAGCCCTATTTCCCTATTCCTATACTTTTACAATTGGTTTTTTGAGTCTGAGTACAGTAATTTATGTATTAAGACGAATTTCAGCAGATTTGGCTAAACCAACAGCAGTCATGGAGTTGGGATATCTTGGGTTTGTCTTGTCTCTGACACATACTGGCTGGGTGACCCTGGGCAAGTCACTCAACCTCTATGTCTCCACATAACTCTAAGATGCTAAATTGGAGAGAAGTCACCAATGTGTCCTGCTGGAGGAAGTTTCCTCTCCAGGAAAATAATAGCCTAGATAAAAAAGCAAAAACTGACAATGGTAATATGACAAGTTCTTTTCTTGCCTGGTTTCTAAGACTACTCTGGTAAGCAGCCATTTAAAAAGCTGTAAAGAATTTCCTCATTGTAACCAGTATTTCACCTATGTTTTTTCCCATTACTATGTTTTCACTCTTAACTTCAATTTGGGCAAAATCTTTTCCATTAAGACCATGAGCCCTATAAGTGATAATAACAACAATAATGATAATAAATAATTCCAGTTCATTGGAATGATGGTGTAGAAGGGAAAAGGATATGCCAACTGGATTGTTCAATATAAGCATAAGAAGTTACAAACATGTTCACACATTATAGGTAGTTATCATGTTGTGTAAAAAGCAATGGAATTAGAAGACAAAGGTTCATGTTCCACCTCTGCTACAGAATGGCACACCACAGTCTGAGCTCCAGTTTCCTCATGGATAAAATGGAAAATAGTGCCACTTGACTCACATAGTTGCTGCAAGGATCAACTAAGATAATGTAAGCAAAGCACTTCGTAAACTATAAAGTACTATATCAGGAACTATACAATTGTAGTTTATTTTGGTATTCTATAGATATATTATTCCTATGTAATTCCTATAGAATTCTACAGGAATATGGCTCAACCCACCAAACATGGATGAGCACCAGCCCCTCCTCCCTAAATTTCTGTCTTTGGTCTTTTCTCTCTATAAGCTCTCTCTCCCTTGGCAATCCTATCCAATCAAAGGCTAGATTATCAACTCTGTTCAGATGATACCCACACTTTTATCTTCAATCCCTTGCCCTAATCTCTAATTGTGTGCTGAACATTTCCACCTAGATTTCTTAACAGCACCTCAAATTCAACATATCTAAAACTGAACTGACCATCTTTCTCCCTAAACCTGTCCTTCCTCCAAACTTCCCTATATCTGATGGCATCTTCCAAGTCAATTAGTTCATAAATAAGTCATCTTGACTCTGCCCTTTCCCTTCCCCACATCCAGTTAGTTGTTAAGGCCTGTAAATTACCCCTCTGAAGGCTCTCTTATTATATCTGTCCCCTCCTTCTTATGGCCTCTACTACTACCCTTCATTTCCTCTCACATGGACTACTGTGACAGACTTCTAAATTGTCTCCTTACCTCCAGTCTTGTCCCTAATCCAATCTAGCCTGCATTTGACTCCCAGAATCATGTTCCCATTTCACTCCAACCATTTCATTAACAGCGCAAAAACTTTTCAGCAAGTCTTCATTTATAAACAGAATTAAATACAAATTTCACAGCACTCAATGCTCTTCATAATTTGGCTCCAAGTGTATTTCCAGACTGATTACATACTACTTCCTCTTCACATACTCTTATATTCTAGTAAAGATGGTCTATTCCTCATTCCTAAATCCTTCCTGCCCTTTTCCAATTTTGTGATTTTTCACTCTACTCCCCCAATCCTGAAATGGACTCCTACTACATCACTGCCTACTGAAATCCTCCTCTTTCTTCAAGGCTCATCTCAGGTATTTTCTCCTAAAAGAAGCGGTTGGCATAAATGGAGGCAAGCCATCAACTCCTTTATTGATAGGCAGCATACCCTTTTTAATAAATGCTATCTTACTCAGAGATATGTGCCTCAGTTACTTTTTTGTTAAATTTCACCTGCAACATTACTATCCAGATCTTTTCTATGCTTATCATATCCTAACTTGCATATAATTTATATATCTTATTGCCCTATAAGTCTGAAAAACTACTTGAGGGTGAGGACTGTGTTAAATATCACTTCTGTATCCCCAATACTCGATAACAGATGCCATTTCCAAATTAGGGGTTGGAAAAGGAGAAGACAATAAAGTGGACTCAAGCAAACGGAGTTAAAAGGTAAAAGAGGAACTAGGTCACTATCATTAGAACGATTATTTTATTTGACAGTCTACAAATCCCATCAAAGGAAATTTAATGAGTAGTACATTTTCAGCAGAATTATTACAAGCAAGATAAAAACACCGCTAGGCCACTCACTCCATCAGCACTTGTGGTTGCTACTATAATTGCTTGCAATAAGCAATTAAGTCCTAAAATAGCAACCACTTAAAAACAGAAATACAGGATTTTTCCTATACCTCT